CAGAATCTGAGTGTGCAAGTCTTGTTTGGCACACTCTTTGAGCTGCGGCCATGCTACCTGGATTACTCGTTTTTAAAGAACTCCCTGTTACTGGATGGTTGTACTTCCCACTGGTCATCCATAGCTGGGGGCTTTGGGTGTAGCTCACTTGGACCTGTGCTTTCCGATGATCCGTGATGAGCGCACCTGCAAGAATAAATCATATGTCAACAATCTGTCAAAATTCAGCAACCATGCTTTCGCATCTGTTCCCAAACGGCTCATCCAGCAAGAGCCACGGACAAAAAATGGATCGATTCTCATGTTCAACACTCTATAACTCTATAACCTTGTCACCTTTGCAGGTTCAAAGGAATGCCACAGACCAAGACGTGCCTGGTAGCGATGCATTGTTCGGAGGGTTGCTGGTGCTAGTGTTCGTCATGCTAGTTGTCCTTAGTGGGCTCAGGTGCATGTGCTGCATCATGCATGATACTCGTAGCATGATGGTCTCATTGATGTTTCCTGTTGTGGCTGGCAAGACGGATTTCTTATTAGAAAATGGGTCAGCTGGCTTCCATTGATAGTGAGTCAGAGTATAGTTGCTACGCATGATCATGGATGGACATTCAAGAGCGGCAGGAATAGGATTACATAATTGGTTTTGGAGGACATGGAGAGCATATGTGAACCACAAATTAATGACAAAAACACATGAAGTGACTGCTACTGGCCTTTATCAACAAAATCAAGAAATCATTCTGTCTGCCAATCTAGTAAGACTTCCTAGGACACAAGTCGGGCAGTGCGTGCCTTGCATACAACGTACCCTCGAACTCTAAAGTTGATTAAAATTGCATGAAATGCCCTCATACTGCAATCCTCACTTTCACGATTCCCATTGATGCATCCTGCAGGCCCGGCGGGGTTATTGGTAAAACATAAATAAAACTTCTTCTCTCATCTCGACTACCCAGTGGTCGAAGCTTCGTTGCAGTGGTCGTCGTGACCGTTGTGGCGGTCGTCGTCGTTGTCGTCGTCGTCTCCGTGACCTCAGCGAGACGCACGGAGGCCGCCGAGTGCAGCGATGTCCGGATGGGAAGCAACTGGTTGCATCCACTTAGCATGTCTTTCGTTAGTACCGGGGTGGTTGATGAATTTTAAGAAACAGGTTTGATCATGTTACATATTAATACAAATAAGGTGTCGTGTGTGTGTGTATTGTAATGGGGGATGGTTGACCGAAAGCGAGACGGGGTCCGAGGGACGCAGCGTCCCTCGAGCATCCCAAGAACGCGATCTTCGCCGAGACACTGTGGTTGTGGTGACGGTGGAGCTGGCCTCAAAGCAGCTGCTCCTAGTAGTAAGGCCAGGAGCCCCGTTCGTAGCGTCCTTGTTCCTAGTAGCGATGCCAGGAGCCTGTAGTAGTATCGTCCTTGTTCCTAGTAGTCAATCAAGGTTAACTGCCCCACCAGAATCAAAAAAAAGGCCTTTTGAGAGGTGTTGCTTGTGGGCATCTCCGTGCCGACCAATGGCTTCACATGTCCTACTCCAGGAAAGAATCGAAGAATTGGTTTAAGGGACAATCTACAGAAAACCAATAGTTTTGGAGTGAAAACCATGGCTTCCTATAGATAATCTATTGAGCCAATTCATTGATGGTTTAATGGTTTGGACAAAATGACCTCACGGTGTCGTCAAGTTACCCCTCGGAAACCTTAATCCAGGTTCTTGAAATTCGTGTCTTCAGCCAACCGTATGCAACCCTGCAAGCTTTGCAGCTGGGCCATCTACTGGGCTGGGGTCCCTGCCACTGTTGTTGCTGCTGTCGTTGCTGCTGTGGTGGCCGCGGTCGTTGCCACGGTCGTCGCGGTCGTGGCCGCGGTCGTGGTGGTGGTCGCCGCGGTGGTGGTCGTCGCTTCGGCGGCGGTGGTGGTCGTCGCTTCGGTGGTGGAATCCGACGAGGAATCACTGGGATCCTCAACAGGCGTCGCATTGCAAACAGGAAATCATCGGAATTCCATGGGCAGTGGGCTTTGTTGAAGGAACTCAAATCCTCTTCTGCTCTTTTTTCTGCGGGCATATCCTAGGTCCTATCACTGAAGACCCTGTTTTTGCTCAAGCTGGCCATGCAACTGATGGCCGCTCGTTTGTGGAACACCTTGAGACTCGGGGCAGCAAGAAAGGGTGGCCATTCCCGCCACACCACACCAATGCACCTCTGTGATGAGAGTCATCGGGTGAAGGGCCGCCTGGCGTTCATTTGTGTATATATATATATTATTGTAAAAAAGAACTATACAATACTCATCAATACATATCAATACTCTATATATATATAATGCATAATATCAAAAGGACATGTTCTGCAGTCCATTTCATAGCTATCGCGAGCTTGGCTGCACTGAAGGATGGCCTCCTGGTGTCTTCTCATCACGCCGTTGGCGGAGATTTGCATCTCCTAAGACCCAAAGGTAAAGCAAGCGAAATGGCCCCGGCTCGTGGAGTGTTCTGCAATAAAACAGATTGGCATGGTCTTGGATTCATGATCCCCAAATAGGACAGATCTTGAACCAAATCTTAGACAGCATGTCATTGTTATCTGAACCATTGGATGATCCACTTGGAGGTTCTCATCTGTGGAGACACCGTAACCTGGAACTTGCAGTCAAACAAATGGGAGGGTGATGGTCATCCCTACCTTCCAAACATTGTGGAACACACCGCTGCACCGCATCGTGCCACCTTTTCAACTCTGAAGCGTAAGACCCTAACCAACGAAAGGGACATGACCAAGCATGCCCTTGGTCTACATCCTGTGCGATCAAGCCAATGTGTTACATGTTGCACGAGCCTTTTGGGGGATTTCAAGTTGCAACAATATCTCCTTGGACACGAGAGAAACACTTTGCTAAACGCAGTGGACACAACAATCACCAAAGATCATCAAAGATCATGACCAAAACTAAACATCCAAACAAAAACAATCTCAAACAACGTCAAACAACAAATTTCGAACCTTCAGAATCCAACGCAGAAGGCAAACTCAGCTCCATTGCTCGAATGATTCCCCGTTCGCTTGCGTCTAAGACGCACGTGAACTTTTAGACGTATGTGTTTGTGCTTGTGCTGGCCTCATGTTTCACGTAGGCCTCGCAGCTCAAGAGGCCGCCGGCCAGGAATATGAAGAGCATTCGCCTGGCGACGGTGCCAGGCGGTGGTCATCGTATGGACGAGTCTTTTTTTGTGCTGCACAACATGGGAATGCACTGACATCAATGGTCAATCAGTGGTATTTGCATGTATTTACAGATGGATGATCATGGATTTGCCATCCTGATCATCCTAAGAACCTGCGATCCGACCTGAAAACAAGGTCCCTGAAAAAGGTTGATGCTTAGAGTCTAAGACACTTAGGTTCACCTCTTATGATCTGGTACGGTGTGTATGGTGCACTTCAGTGGTGACCCTGCCCCCCCAAGAAAACCCGACGGCGGGGTCGCACCAGAACCAGAGCGCGTCTTGCTGTGGAAAAATCTAGGTCACCCAGAAAGGCCGAACCCGCCCGCGTCGCGCGCGTCGAACGCGCACCTGCCGAAACCTGGGGATCTCGATATTTCTAAAACAACGCCAGACTTTGCTGCAAGCCACACACGGCTTTTGCTGCGGTCGGACGATCGGAATTCGTCCCATGTCCGATTTCGGATGTGTGTCGGATGTGTCTCAGACTGTGTCTCAGGAAGAACGAGGCGTCGTCTTCCGGTTTTGACCAACTGATTGGGTTCGTTGGTTCAGCGTGAAAAGGGCCCTGTCGTTTGAGACGCAGTCTCTGCCCTTGGAATTCTCTGTGCCATTCTTTGCCAATGAAGCCTATGAGAACAGCTGAAACTACGCCTTATTAATGCACATGTGAGGGATGGTCGAATTGGTTTCTGCACCATTGGAGAAAATGGCCAGACATCTAGCAGTATTGAAGGCTGCACATGGACCAAGATGGCCTGTTTAGCTTCCAAGGCACCTTTGCCTGCTGAGATCTCTTTTTGAGAAGCAATCCATTGGGCGCACGCCACATGGGCGAAGTCCGAACCGAAGTACCCCTTTTTCCGCGGACGCGGTGCTTAGCAACCAAGGCCGAAAGTCCGTGCAAGACTTTGGATGTGGGCTTTGCAGAAAAGAAGATGAAGCAGACATCCAAGCCCACAGCACTGATGGTTGAAGCCGGTACAAGCTTCCACTGCACAAGAGTCCAGTCACCTTCCGGAAGTTCATCCATCCAAGACGACCTGTCCAAATTGCTTTGACCGCAGGAAGCTGTCAGTCTTCTCCACGTTGGACGTGCGTCAAGCGGCTTGAGCAAGTTGAACTCAGCAGTCGTAGATGAGAACAAGAACCTTAGAACACAAGAACCTTAGTTGGATTAAATGCCCCTGTAGTATGACGAGGCATGATCCAAGTCTCCGTTAAAAACAAGCTCAAATATGCTCGAATGTGAAGCACCCACCAGCGGTGCAAATAAATCGCATTGGCTCTCAGTGTCTTTCTCAGACAAGATTCCTTCAGCCGCTGCATCCTGCCGCCTTCTCAACGCCGTTGCGAGGTCAATGGTCCGAAAGCTCTTTCACGAACCTCAATGTTTGAAGGTGGAAAACATAATGCAGATGCATGTAAACATGTTCGGCCATGTAACAAGCTTGAGCGCATCAACCAAGGGGCCTCCCGGATGAGGACTCCTTGTCATTCTACCCCGTGTGCAGCTTCGGGAGTCGCTTCACTTTGGACTCCGTTGGGGAACTTGATCGGTGATCGGTGAGTCTGCGTTTCCTGCTTGGTTGGCCAATAGGGTGTTCTTGCTGCACCTTTCATCGCAACCTGAAATTCTAGTTGAGCCATGACCCCGGTAAAGTTTAATCTGGTGCAACCTATTCATTGCATTAATATATGACCCGTTTATTGCTCACGAGATTCCACAATCAGACTGCACATCCCAACCTATTTGAATGCCGTGGATTGGTGGTGGAGCCTCAACCCCCCATTGCTCGAGCCACCGTCGCCAGGTCTGCCCCACCTGCATAGCCACCACGAAGGGAGCTCTTCGCCTCGCCCGCCATGTACGCAGCAAAGGTGCCGAAATCATCTGCAGAGGCTAAAAGCTCCAGCAGGATGGTGCCGTTCCTCGATCTGGGTCAAAGGTCGAGGTCGCGAAAACGGATTCGGTGTGGATGCGGAGTGGCCCTTTCTTGTGGGTACGGAGCGGTGATCAAGATCTCACACCACTGAAAAAGAGATCCTGGGAGCGACTCTGTATTCGAACTCCGCACGCCGACTCCCAGAGATTTGCCTACCCCTGACCATACCAGGCCAGCAGGCCTAGTTCGAAACCGTTGAGCGAGCAGTGGCACCTCACCGGTGTGAATGGGGCCATGAATCGCTCCGCAAGAGGCGCAGGCCAAAACTGAAAGGCAGCAAAGTTTTACCATTGGATCAAAGGAATGCTGGTGTACAGTAACCGCTGGGACAAAGCTCACAATGGATATAAGTATCTAGTTAAGGAAGGGCAAAATTGGGAACAGCAGAGTCGGTCAATGTGTAGATGGAACCTTCCTTGACAACAAACTTCGCCGGTTAAGCCCTTTCCTTTTTGCCTGTTCTTGGGATGCCACAAGCAGGCCGAGAGCCAGGGGCCTATATCTGAGGAGAGGTCCCATCTCTCTGTCTCTCTCTCTCTCTCTCTGTGGGAGTTTATCTGCAGCTACAGCGACCAGTGATTCCTCCGAGGTGCGTTTCTTGGTCTGCTTGGGTCTGTGCTGCTGCTTCCTTCAGCGCTTGGTGGAGAAGGTCCTGGTCGTTGAAGGCTGCGAAGCGGCGTCTCTTGGAGATGCTGAACACCAGCTGTGCCCACTAAGCATCGAAGAAAACAATCGCAGATATCGCACGGTATGGCCGGACTTCTTCAAAAAGAGCGGAGTACAGTGCGGACCATCACGAATCCTTTTCTAATCTCCCTGCTACAAACGCTGCGAACTTAACAGAATGGTTGACCAGCACCCAACTGAGCTAGCAGCTAGCAAACACTGTTTTTGAGCAGATGGCAATGTTGCTATGTCTTATACTACCAAAGTATCAATCGGGCGATATCCACTCTCACCTCTCCGACATTGGCTTGGCGGCACCACTGGTCCACAGCATGTGCTACCAAGTCTTGGAACTGGAGGAACGATTGCATTCTCTCCAGGCGATGTTCTCCAAACGCACCGTCCTGTGCCGTGCCGAGATGCCGACAGAGACGATGCCGACAGATCGATGCCATGCTTCAAAGGCCTGAAGAACAGATGCCGTGTTTGCTGTGTTGATGTATCTATGTTCCGCTCAGCGGCTCAGCCTCTCGACCTATGCGACCTATGCTACGTGCCTTTGCACATTCGTATACATTCGTACGTACACATGTTGATGTCTACAAAGATATGAACCATTTGTGCGCATGACTCACAACTGCTCCACTGTCTGACAGTTTGTGCCTCCGGCAACACAGTCGGATCCAGGTCTGCAAAGTAGTGGCACTCGCGAGCTGCAAGCTGATCGATTGCCGGCTGGATGTGATCCAAATAGTGAGAAACCTGGGCTGGAACTTCCACTAGCAGTGGTGCAACACGCAAAAGTATATAGGGCAAAAGCAATGTTGAAAAACTCAGACCCCAACAAGAGAACATGAAACCTACAAATTGTGGGATCTTTTGCTGGTGGCTACAGCGAAGCGGCGGTGGTTAAATGTCCTGCCGTGTTGTTAACAGTTATATAGCTATCAAGCTGGCTTTCCTTTCGCACACCATTGTGCTTCTTCTTGCTGGCAGAGTGTGGCAAATAGATAGATCAGGAAATCTACCACAGGCTCCGAGCGGTCTGCAAACAACAAATAGATAGCTTGCGGCAATCCATGACAACCCCAGCACGCGTCAACAGCACCCACCTCACCCCTTCCACCACTTGTGCATGCTGCAGCCACTTGACGCTGGAATTCACGCAGCCACAACTAAGGAGACATGTGCAATGATTTGCTCACCTGTCTCATCAGCTGTCTTTACTAGCTAGACAAGAGAAGAAACACCTTGCGTCGCCAAATATCCTTGGCCGTGAGTTAGCTCCACCATGTGCTAAACAGTCTGCAAGCTTTCTGCACATTGAAGATGACGTGCAATCCATTTATATTTTGATATGGCCGCTTCGGCCTTGTCGAGTGGCTCAATTACAGGAAGGTTGGGTGTCATGTGAGGCTGCTGAAGATCCCTTCTTCGACTCCAACTTATGTTCGAAAACACCACCCTAACAAGTAGCATCCAGTAATCCAGTAGTCGTACGCGTATATCCTCCCAAGTGTGAGTTTCGGATTCCCTCAGACGGACACTTTGAGCAGCAGTGTACAATCCAGAAATTGCTAAGACCTCTCCTGGAAGCAAGCTTGGAGCACACTCCAGCCCACGCAGTCGCGTCACCCTCTGCCAAGGCCATTGCTAGATGGCCGCAAATTGAGAATAGACATGCAACTGCAGAAACAGTGTATTATATATATATATATATGTGTGATAATACATGTATGTGTCCTCTTTACATGTTGGCAGTGTCAGATTCGGGTTGCAACATGTTCCTATCTGGCCGTCCTCTCTCAATTCCTCCACTCTGGAGCTGCTTTGACGTCGGGTGGCAGTGAACATGCCGCCAGAAAGGAAAGGCCATGCGTAAGACCGTGCCGTGTTTTTCAGGCCAAGCGCTAAGGAAAGGTCATTCTCTCGCGGGAACCAGCACGGTCTTACAGCCATACAATCTCAGCCTGGAACCTCCGGGAATGTCTCTGTCCGGCTTCATAACCCTATTTAAGCAGAGGGTGGTACTGGTAATCCAGCAAGTGTGGTGAAAGACGCATCGAAAAGTGAATCCGTTTCAACACGTTTTCAATCGTGTGTATGAAAATAGGAAGACCTCCCAAATAGACCAGTCTACCCAGGGCGAGAAAGGGGTCTCCCTATGAAAATACATATCCTCTTGGACACAGTAAACCAATCTATTTGGCATCCCTCATCTTCTGCTGATGGCCAGTCCTAGGGTTTGCGAAGGGTCTACACTCCCAGCACTGGTGGATTTGGGCCACATGCGTGCTGGAATGGTTTGACATGTTTTTGCATACTAATTTGCATGCACACCCCACACACCTCAGTGTGTCTGCTACTGGTTCTTATGTCGGAAGTTATTCAACCAGAGCATCCCTCCAAGATCGAGGTCGATTCCCAAAAAACGACTCCGCGACAGCGCTTTTTTTCGCCAGAAGTCAGAAGACCTTCAAGACCTCTACTAGGAGCAAAGAGACCTCAGCTCGAACATCGGCGGCTAAGAAAACGTCCAGCTCTTATAGCCATAACACCCCGAAGGCCTCACATGGCCTCACAAGACCTCCCCTCTGCCCAAAGGTTGGGCGATTGATCCTACAGTTGTCGCTGTGACCTCGCTGAGATCCCGAAGCCCGACGCTGCTCAGAGCGAGAATTTGCGCGAACTCCGTCCGCTCCCGAGGCACGACGCTGCCCAGGAAGCTGCCGGCTTGCAGAACCACCCCGGCCAACCAGTAAAGATGTGTTGGATCCGCACCATCCTGGACCAATCGGAAAACAGCGCAGGAGAAAGGAGACAGAAAGACTCTCCCTCCCTCCCTCCCTTCCCTGGCATGGGGTACCATGGTCAACAACTAGTTCACTTCAACGTGTCAAGAAGCAGTGCCAAGTAGACAAACCTCTTGAAGATGGTCATGCTCGCCCCTGGAAACCGCAAAGCGCAAGAGTTAAACGCACATAGAAGCTGTAGAGCCCTCAAGACATTGCAGCGTCACTTTGGAACGTCCATCAAGAATGCGTATTATATGTATTCTTTGTTTGACAACTCACTGCGGTCTTTAAGAAAATTTGGTCCCTGCCATAGACCACCCTATCTCAACATACCCAGTAATATTCATATGGGTATTCTTACAGACCTGTTCCACCTCGATCTGGGACATTCATTCCGTCATCCACGTGTGGAATACTTGGGAAAACCAACATAGACCCCCCTGATTCCATGTTGAATAGCCATATCACATCAAAATCACTATCTGTAACAGCCTGAGTACGGCCACAAATTATGCATAGAGAGTTGAAAGCGCCAAAGTCTCATTGCGCTCAAGACTGCCCAAGTTTGGCTTCAATTCTCAGCAGCTATGTGCAGAAATTATTCCGTAGTATCTTGACATTAATTATTCCAGATGGAGGCAAACATCATGTATACCCCCTCATAGAAATACCTTAAGGCTATATGCCTGATTCATCCTGATTCTAACTATTCCAGAAAAATTATTCCAGATGTGATATGCCCCCGCAATAACTTTGTTAAGTACATTGGAACCATTAAAGTATCCCAAGGTCTGGCGGTCACATGGCACAGTCTTTTCCGATTCTCTTGAGTCTCCCGGCCTTCAGGATGAGGAAAGCCATGGTCCGTGCATAGCCAAAGCTTGCAGCAAAGACCACGTTGGCCATTGGTATCACCTGACAGTCTGCAAAAACATTGGGACATTGGGGCCAAAACCCCCTCAAGCTCCGAGGTTCTTCCACCACCACGTAGGCCGCTTGCTTGGACCCGTATTTACATGCATGAAATGGCGTCAGATTTCTGCTGGGCTTCGGTGAGACGGTACCTCAAATCTCGCAAAGATGGCTCCCAAACAAACAGGTCTCAGTGATGTTCAGTTTCCAAAACTGCCAACAAATACAAGCAACCATGTCCACTGGATGGTAAAGGAGTCCTGAACGGGCAAACACCCCTCATGTTTCGATGCATTGTTCAATTTTAGGGTGCCTCCAAGAAATGGAATTCGGAGCCTCTTCCTAGCTCTTCTTGCCTCAGACAATCGGAAAAATCGTTCAGTGACCCCTCTTCACGTTGTGACGGTGCCTCCCTGCCCGGTACAAAGCGGCCTGCGGGGAGGGCGTCCTTCCAAGGCGCGTCCTTCACTGAACAACCCTTCAATCAAAGATCGGGAGTCCAAGCCACCCATGGGCTCCAAGCAAGGCTGGGCCATTTCGCTAAACCGGTCACGAGCAGCGCGGCACAGGTGAAGAGCAAGGTCAAGGCGTTGAGGCGCCTGTGAGGGCGGTTGAGCGGAGCTTGTGGGGATGGCTGCTGTTGTCTCCTGGTTCTACCAAACCACCCGCAATGGGCCATCCCTAGAACATCCTAGAACCGAATACATGAACTGGATTGAACTGGAGCATCCCAACCAAGGCAGCTTTTGGCGTTTCGGCAAGGAAACTGTCAAAGAACACCAAGAAGCCCGCGGTTCAGAATACACAGAGATGCAATATAGAAGTTCCGAATTTTGAAATGAGGGTAGTTGGTATATAAAGAATTGGTGAAGGAAACCAGCGCATGTGAAGGAAAGGCTTCAACTTCAACTTCATCTTCAAAGTGAACCTGGTTCGATGGCACTGTCCGAGTTGCAAGGCAAAAGACCAGCGCTCAAAAGCGGTTCCTAAAGAGAAGCCGGAGTCCGGAGTCCGGAGCTCACAGAAAGCCTCGTGGTAATCTCATCTCACTGGCCAACAAGCTTTATATAAGTCTTAAATGGATTTAACTGGTGTGAAGTGAAGCAAGAAACTGTAGTCCCCACCTTGTTGCTTGAAGGAGACACTGCACCGAAAAAAAAAAAAAAAAACTGTTGGAACCGTCCTAAAGTGAGTGAAGGCCGTCATCAAGCGGCTGACCGGATCGAAGCCGTAGATCACAGCATTGCTCCACAAAAGGACCTTGATCTGAGCCATCCTTTCTTGATCCCCATGGAGGTTTAGTGGGGGGGGTTGGAACCTCATTTCATAGAGGATACCTCCATGGGTATCTATTTTGTATCTTCGCCCCATTCCCGAGTCGGGTTCGGCTGGGATTCTTGGGTTTCAGCCGAGGGAACCCTCGGCGAACCCTCGACACTCGACAGTGTTCTGGGTGTTCAGGTGGTGCAGAATGTGCAGAATGGCTTCCATTGCAAGCAGCATTCCATAAATGCACCGGATTCCCTTCGCTTCAACTGCTCAAACACCCAGTCCCCGCATCATCCAGTGTGTTTTGGTCCATGACTGCAACTGAATAAATCAAACCGACCATGGGAAAGACTCGTTCCAAAGTTCGTACTTCGTCCTCCGACACACTTGCTCGATGTCACTTCCGACGTCCAACCAAAATGCCTCGTTGCCTTTCAATGCACTTGGACATCCAATTGCACCACATGGTTTCAAAACATGGCGTCTGCTTGGCCCCATCCTTCTAGAGATGAGTCGTAGCTGCACTCAGTCCAAAAATAGCTCGCCGGAAGGCTGGCTACATCTGGGTCTCTGGCTGTCTGTGAATTGCCATAGTGCGAACCTCAGCTGGTCAAACCGGAGATCAGAAGTAGAATTGGATCAAAACCGTTACGGCAGCCTCCTGGAGGCAGGGCCCACCCTGGCAGCCTCCTGTCGTCTTTGGGGTCTTCTTACGTGCCATGAGGTCGACGGGTCGACCAGAGACGTCGACCATCACCTGTGCTGCGGACGTCGCGGACTGTGCTTTTTACAGCCCAGCTTGCGGTCCACCGGCGCCCACGAGACAAACGAAAAGGCGACGTCGAAGCTTCAGCCTGGCCACATGCAAGGGGATTTAAGGAGGGAAGAAGGCCAAAGTTCAAAGCAGCACCCACGAAGACTGCCTCAGTGTTTCATCTTTGCGTCGCTGAGTCGATTTCTTGATGCCTATCACTGAAAATGGAAAAGCTCTGATGTCTATCACTGAGCGCCAGCATGCTTCAAAACTGAAACCTTTAGAAGAAATGAGGTCACACACACACAGGACGCACGTCGAATCGAGGGTGTGAATCAAAAAGACCACCGAAGCTTCTCGAGGGACCGTCGAGGAGACCTAGCCGCTCCGGTCCGGACGCTCTACGACGGGCGGCCGTACCGTTCCGCTGCAAAACGAAAGCACTTGGGCTTTCGAGTTGCTACGAAGCTGGGGTAGAAATGCCGCCAATCAGAGGTGCCTTGGTGACGCAGTGAATCGGTCCTTTTTAGGCCCCCAACCACCTGGGTGGGACTGTCCTGCCATTTTGGGAGCAAGGATGCAGGAGTTCTTACAGACTCCGTTTGATACAATCTGATTCGATCTATACCCTCCAAAAACCGTCTATTTTCTCCTCTTGACATCAATGTTGCAGGCTTCAAGCTTCAGGCTCTGGTGAAGGCTTAGCAGTTTGGATGTCAAGGCTTCGCTGAGTTATTCAATGCCAAGAAGCCGCAATTGCTTGTGGCTCTGAAAGACATGCTCTCCTTGCGGAGTCGGCTTTTGGAGATGTTTTTGGAGGCCCCGGGCCTTTCCCAGGGTCAGAGTCTACCTCAAAGAGAAAAGAAAGACCAAAAAGGCACCCCCTCCCACCCTCCACCCAATGGATTTGATCTCTTCGTTTCCTTGTTCCGGATTTGAGAGACGAGTTCCATGGTGGAGACAAAGCAATGTGCACTTCTGAACGGGTTATCGTCGCCTGTGGTCATCCCCCAAGCGTCAGGCCTCTGGTGTGGACGCACCCCGTTGGTCGTCATGTCAACCGATCGATCTTCAGCTCCCGATCTACGATCTGCGTCTCTGGCTTTTTGAGGTGAAAATCACAGCTCTTGACTTGGTGGAAACTCAGTTGAACAACATCAGAAACTCTCAGTTTAAGGCAAACTCGAAGAAAATAATGCATCAGCAATTGTAAACTGAAGGCTGAAACCACAAGGTCTCTGAACTCAGTTTGAGGTGTTCGTGTAGGAGGGTTTGGACCCACTGCCATATTAAGCTTTAGCTATTTCACACAAGACTGGGACACATCAATGTTTTTGGAGCAGCTAGTTGGCAAACACCTGAAGCCTGCTGAGGCCTTCTTTGGCTTTCCTGGCCAACATCCAGCCCTATGGTGTGGTGTTGATGGGTCATCCTGGCCCACGGATCATCCCATGCAAGGGAGCGGCTTCACATGCTTGCGGAGGCTCATGGCACAGCTTGGCATATGGGTGGCGATCTAGAAACCTGCTTGCTGTGGTGAGCACGTGCGCAGCGCGCACGCGAGGTGACGCCATGCCAAAAACGGTGTGGGGACCTGGAGATGCGGGTGTGAAGGCGAAACATGGGTAGTGAGGAGAAGAAAAATCGACAAAGATCAACCAAGAAATCCAACATCATCTGACATCTGCAGTCTCCTCTAGATCTGTCATTTAAGCACAAAATATAGCCAACACATCTGCCAAATATATAAGACGTTTTGCATGAAAAAACACTTTGGACAATGCGGGTCTAATCTGGAGACACTTCTGGTGCATCTGAACCACCCAATCCTCTCTCTCTCTCTCTCTGTCAAAAAAATGACCTTCCTAGCAAAACCCAAGAAAATGTCCAACTCGGCAATCCCTTCCGTGGTTTGTGTAAAGAGCCGTTGCCGCTTTGTTTCCAAAAAAGGGATCCGTGACCTTGATTCATCGGTTGCGACCACGGCGCAGGACAGCGGCGGCGAAAGCAGCGGTCGACCTACTTGCGTAACCTACTTGCGTGACCAACCACGGCATGACCTGCTTGACCAAGCCCTTTGGTTCTGGGGGGATTCTATGTTCTCAACTAACGCATGATTCGATTGGTTCATTCAAAACGGAACACTGATTTCTCCAAGAGGACATGATGACCAGCTCGGTCCCAACAGGGCGGCGCACCGCCGTCCGCACCAAGGCACAGCAGCCCCAGCAGTGCCACCGCACCAAGCACCGCCGAGAACGCGAAGGCTCCAGTCGAACTTCGTGCTATGGCACCTGAGTTCCTGAGAAAGACTGAGGGCGGCGACGGCATATAGGTGTACAACATAGCTAGCCGCCTCTACCTTTAGGTGTACTGAGGCGGCGTTTTTGGTGTACCATATATGTGTACACAACATATAGAAAATGGAAACAACAGAATAGGTCGTCCAAAGAACACGGATGGTATGATCACATTGGGTTCTAAGGTGTGCTTGGTGCATCACGCTTTAAAGACCTCAAAACCTCCTGGAAGGCGAGGTAGGAAGCCAATCCATCAATGCCTTGGGACCACATTCCTTTGGTGCATGCCTGTGTGGCTGTGAGCCATCCCAGTAGACGATACACATCCCCTGGAACCGACTCGCCAAGTGTCTTTGAACAGACTCGTCAATAAGCATGGGTTCCTATTTCGAAGACTTTCTAGATTATCCAATATGGGCATAATATCTGACAGCAAACTCAGCAAACCCAGGAATAACATCTGCAGAGTACAACCGACAAGGGCCAGTGTGGCCTTGGACTCCTTGGACCCAGAAGATTACACCAGCATCGCCAGATGGAACTTATAGGTGTTCCAACAAATTCTTTCGACGTACAAAACATGTCAGTGTATCGAACTTCTTGTTGAAAAAACACTCTGTCAGCAGCAAATGCAACCTTGTTCGCGAAACAGGTCATTGGTATGTGGCAAAATCAACTCTTCAGTAGGGCGCAGCTTGGAGATTTCGCACTTATACCGACAGCAGGGTGCACTGACACCCTGTTGTAGCCGTCTTTCGGTGAAAAGGGTTCCGGGCAACCATCGGGAACGACATATCACATAAGACGGCTACACACAAGAAAGGCGGGGAAACAACGAAAAGGACAAAGAAACAGAGAAGCGAAGCAAAAGAAAGGTGACACTAAAGGAATTAAACACAATGGGAAGGAACAGCAAACCAAAAACAGAAGGAAAAGAGTAAGTACGGAAGGAAAGCAAAGAAAGGCATACAAACAGGAGGACAAAGAAAGGACCAGCAAAAGGCACGGAAAACAAAGGAGAGAAAGGAAACGAAAGAAAGAAAAACAAACATAGAAGGAAAGAAAGGATAAGAAAATAAAAATGGATGACAAAGGAGCGAAAAGGCAACGAAACGACAGTTTAAACAAAGAAAAAGAAAGCAAAGAAAGGACACGAATGAGAGGACAAGGCAGAGGAAGCAAAAGAAAGCAAAGAAATTGGGGAGAGAGAACTGGAATAGAAGGAACAGGAATAAGTAAGAAAGAGCAACAAAGCAATGCAAAACGTGAAGAAAGAAAAGCTACGCTTTTTAGCTCACACATAAGTGCACACTAAGAAGGTGCCTGAAGAGCAGCGCTCTTTCACCCACTTCCTCATTAAAAGCTGCAGCCTTCAATCTTCCAGTGAACATCTTTGCTTTGCTCAAGAGGGCTCCACCCTCAAAATCCATGGGTTTTTGACAGCCCTCCAGCGACAGCACCTGTCGCAGCACCGCTCCAAAGACACCCGGAACAGCATGACACCCGGTCTCTCAAAACGCACCGCCCAACTCATAGGTCCATCGGTGTTTTAGCAGGTGCCTGTCCCGGTGTCCCGACACCTGTCCCGGTGTGCCGAACGCCGTGTGCGCCCAGGATCTGCAACATGCCCAGGACACCTGCGGCAGAGCCGCTGAGACCTTCACCGATCGCCAGTGCCGTGGTGTAACGCCTGGACATTCGACCAAGTCTTCCGGGCCCCGTTCCGGTGGCCAACGGCCGGCACCGGTGCGGGTCTTAGGACCCATGGTTCCAGGAGACGATCATGATGTGTGGCTGGGATTGGATGAAAGGTCCAGCCAAGGGTTCATGTCAGATGAGACGAGTGGAGGACGTGAAGTGTTCAAAGAGTGATTTTTCGTCGTCGTCGGCTTTGGAACGATGGAACGCTGGGTGGCTGGTTTTTGGTGCCTCGCCTGGAAAATGCCCATAGTCATGGGGTTCTTGATGGGTCTGAAGAGTCTCCAGTCGAGTCTCCTGTTTCTACGGCTACAGGGAGGTAGAAAATGATCAAAGGCATTCCAGTCAAAGCACATCAGATGTCACAGAAAGATGTCATAATTACGTCTTCCTGTCGCTGCTGTCACTCCTGTCGTTCCCGGTCATGTCCTGTCCTCTTCCATCACTCCAAAACACTTGCTCCTCCTCTGCCTGACTCACTCGCTGCCACCCTGACCCTTCACCCCATCGCCTCGGAAAGGTGGACGCAAAGGGGTAGAAGACCAAGGAGCTGCCGCAGCTTGCGATGCCTGAACTGCCGGTGGAGGCAGCTCGATGACAGAGGCACGAGGAGAAACGCATCCAGCTGGGTGGAAGATCATGGAAGAAAGCTGTGAAGTGCTGTGAAGTGCTGTGAATTGTGCTTCTGCTGGAGGGTTTTACCGGTTCCGATCCATTCAGAACAGGTTGTCTTGATCTCCGCATGTTCAGGAAGGATCTTGATTGAAATGGAGTAAGGATGCATGTCTTCTTCGTGTTCGGATAGCTGACATCATACAGCACAGAAGGAAAATGGTGGAAACATGTGTGAGATCTTCGCCATCCAAAATACCACACAACCAAGTCAAGCGCATGGCAACCACCCAAAATGGCCGAAACTCTTTGTTGCTTCCCTAAGGCAAAGGATGTTCCCCTCTCTCCGTCTCCTGACTCCTACCCGATTCGACCGACCGCTCCCTCCGTCTCGACCGACCGCTCGGTCCTGCCACGAAGGTCATGGTCAGAAGCCCGGTCGAGCGCTCGGCGCCTCGGACCGCTCGGGCCGGGTTGGTCGCGGGGATCGGCATCGCTTCCGAGAAAAGGCCGAGCTTTTGGGAAAACTGCTGAGGGCTGAAAGGTGTGTGTATGTGTGTATGTGTATGTATGTATATATATATAGACACACTGTATATAGAGACAGAGAGAGAGAGATTATCACGATCATGTATAATATGTAGAGAGAGAGAGAGAGAGAGATTGTGTGTGTTTGGGACCAAGAAGACGCGCAAGCGGATGATTTCTGGCCAAACGAAAGTGTAATGAAATGACTTATGAGCCTTACAATTCGATGCCTGAGGCACCAGGCCAAAGAGCCAGGCTGTACTATGGCAAGCTCCGGCGGCAAGAACAACACTTGCACCTGAAGCGTTTTGAATCTCCAGCACTGGCCATAGTTCAGAGATAGAACTTAGAACTGTGGTTTTGTATGCACCTGTGCACATGTCTCTTCAAATGTCATTTCAAGACGAAACCATTCGTCTACAGTGCTTGTCCTACTACTACGTAGAGGTGTTGGTGAGGGAACAGAACACTGAGTCAGTTTTGAGACACAGCGAACAACCCGTTTTACAATCATGCGGCGGGCTGTGGCATCAAACACTGGCGTCTTTCACAAAGAGTAAGCCTGGGGTATGGGATTCTGAAAAGAAAATAACAAACTGGTCGAACAGCCCGCTCAACCCAGTGGTCCAATCATGGGTCTCTGCGCCGTTCGCCGCCCAAAACCGACCCTCCCTACCTCTCCCTCTCCTGCACGACAACGGCTGACCGCCGGATGCCCAGGGTGAGGCCGGAAAACTCTCCAAAGCAACCGAGAGACACACGCCCAGCAGCAGCAGAAGAGCGCTGGTTCTCCAGTCGGCCGGTGCCCGACGCACCAGCGGTCGCCTCAGGAGTCCGCGCACGGCCCGGGTCGCCGAACGCGCGGAACGCGCGAAGAGGCGCCTTTGGCATGTCCGATTGGGGTGACACTTTCGGTGCTCAGGCTGCGGAGCTGGTGCCTGCCTGCGGGAATGTTGGAATGCCGTAGTTTGGCCATGGTTGACCACCCCCCCAAAGAGGTGGTGAAGTAGGTCGTGACAGCTTTGGGTGTTCATCGTGTTGGATCACCACCGTATTGCATCTTCATTCAATGTGTGACATCCGACTGCACTTGGTCTCCAGCCACACCCAACAAAAATCAACAAAATGTCTTCAAAAGTTAAAAGAAATTACAGTAAATGCATGGTGGTCTCAAGTCTCAAGCATTAACTGCTTCAGAATTACCTACCTTATCATGTCTGGCAGATCCCAGACTTTGGGGCTCCATCTTTTGTTCTGGCATTTGCTGCTGGGATCGGCTGGTGTTGCCTGCCCCAGCTGCCTCCTACCTATCTACCAGGACTCTACCAACTGGTAATGGAGCTGGGTTGAAGCACTGGAGAGACGCCAAAGGGGAAAGACCAACCGAATCTGCCGCTCCGGCCTGAGACCCATCGAAAGCGAGACCCGAAACGCAACACCAAGGCCTTCAGTTTTTTCACATGTCCCGACTTACCGGTCTAAGACCCCCTGCAGCAGCAGCAATGCACCAAGGTTGGCCAGTTGCAAGGCAACCACAATCCTCCCACTTTTGTGAAGCAAATCGATGCAGGATGTTTCTCGAAAGGGGCCATGAGAGGAGTGAAGCACAGGTCGATGACAGCCCCTGTAGTGCCATGCGCTGGGTCGGGGGGAGGTTCAGCCAGATCTTTTGAAGCTTGTAGCATGAAACGAGGGGGGCCAGCGGCCAGCCCCATATAAAACGTGTTGGGCAGATCAGTCGCCAGGAGGTCAGGCCGTCATTCTATAGAGAACTGTGTGTATGTATATATATATATATATGTGTGTGTGCATGTGTCTCATGCTGCTTTTGTTGTGATTGTTCAAGGACCATGATTGGAAAAAGACATGTTCCATTGCTTCACTGTACTTTCATGCTTGGAATATGACCTCAGGCGAGGTCAATTTAGGATTTGAGGATTTATGTCAGGTCTTTCGATTTAGGCTACCTTGCAGGTTGGGGCCACCATGGCATATCTATTAAATGGCTCTCTCTCTCTCTCTCAAGACCCCCCCCAAAAGATCCCAAAAGCACACAAAAGTATTGAACAGCCGGTTTGAGGTTGCTGCCACTTTAAGACAAAACTCACATTATCCCACGGAGACCCCGGAAAACCACAACGACAATGCTTAAACTCCGACAAACTGCAAACGTGTCTCTGATTTCGCAAAAAAAAACTGACATCTGTCTGCTCTCTTTTTGAAACTCGGAGTCCAGGTGGTTAGAGACCAGCCCTCTGGCTGGCTGTAGACCAGGAAGGATGATTGTACGAAAACCTCATGGCGTTCCGTCGATGTGATGAGTTCGTCGAGAGAGTCGGCACGAAAACGGCAGTCACACGCCGTGCAGTTCGTCGGCACGAATGAGTTCTACGGCAGAACACCAAATGCACTGTGCAAGAAGACGAGTCACTCGGCCCACACAAAAGGTTTGGCTCAAAAGGACATCAAATCCACCAAGAATGGTTGGAACCCATCCAACAGCCACCGAGGCGTACCTAAGGCAATGGGCCTAAGGCCCACGCACTATTGATGGAGATCCAACTGCCCAGTCCGAAGATGATAAATGCCGCCTTGGATCCCAACATGTCGAGTGCCGCGTGTTTGAGTGCTCGGAAAATAACATACCCCATGGCCATCCCAGCGATGGGGGTGGGGATTGGTTGAATGGTCTCAAAGTCGGACATGAAGAAGGGTGATCTACCGATGCTGATGCTTGGAATGCCAACACCTGTTGATGTGATGACCATCATGAAGATGCCATGAAGAAGCTGTGAAGAGGGGCAACTGTCTTCCCTTAAGGTGTTGTTCTCAAGTTCACCATTCGCACTTTCTTATGGCCTAAACCTAAACCCCAGCAGGGGGTTCCAAAGCCCCATCTATTCTGGACGAGTGCTGCATGAGGACCTGTTTATTGAAGATGCGGTTTCCCTGGACATTTTCACCTGTTGGATTTTGGGGGGGAAACCAAGCCACAAAGAGGTTGAAGGTTGTCTGCTCAGTATTAGATAGCCCCTTCAATGTTTCTACCATTGCAAGATACATAGACCACCGCAGCTTCTTTGCCAGCGGTGGCATGCTGCGCTGGGTCATCGACAGAAAGGGCAGCTGACATGGCTGAGTTACCTCAACATACCGGATTTAATGTGTGGATACACCACAGGCAGACGAATGACGTGCTATTGTGCTGGATGTCCAATGTGCATGTCTGATGCGTTTCTTCTTTTTCTACATCGTGTTGGGAATGACTGCGACTGGCTGCTACGTGGATGGATTTGACGTCCAAGCACGGGGAATTGGTGCAAGCTTGGCGTCCATCGAGGACATCTGGTGCAAACAGCTTGGAATTCCAAAGAAGGGAGATGATGTCATGCCAAGGGCAGGTTTAGATAGAATATCTAGGGTCCTCTGAAGTAACTCAATACAGAAATCATCAATTGGAACCACTCATCACCGCGGCATGATTGATTTGACTGATGCCACTAAAGTCCTCTGTGAGTCCCCTGTGAAATGCTTCTGTTCCGTTCGGCGTTTCTCGCCCGCTAGGATCGCCGGGAGCGATCGCCGGGCGCTGCAGCGCTGCAAAGGAGGAGCCAGAAGTCACCCAGGGTGGCATTTCGCAGAATGGAAAATGGTATCAGATATTCCTTTGGCATCGCTGGGGCCAGGAATGACACGTGTTCATCATGCCAACGACTGGAGGAGATCCTAATACTTCATCTCTCATGATTGATCTATTTCTCTCCTGGCTAGGTGGTGCAAATACTGATATGTTGAAACCTATGGATGAAACATCAGCTTTGCAAAGCTTTGCAAACAGCCAAAACTCTGGAAAACCAGTGGCTGTTCTGGGTCCAAAGCCCGTGCCCACTGTAGCTCACCAATGTAGCCCGCAAAAAACTGAACTATTGCCCAACAGGTTTTGGCCTGCACCCACGGTTGTACTTGTATGGCTTTCCGAATCAATCGATTGCAACGGTGACACTCTTTCTTCACTCTTCTTCGCGCGAAAGCTCCACATTCTACGGGCGCTCAGTCCTGCAGCGGAAGATCGACCAGTCAGACAAAAAAAAGGTTTCAACGAACTGATTCAGGTTCAACATTTACATCATGTTACCACCTAGTTCAATGGAACCTTCTCCGTCTCCAAATATCATCATTCCCATTGAACCTGCCGCCCACGTCGCAAAAATGGCTTTCCAGAACCTCTTGCTCGCAGCTTGACTGGCGGGAGAACCCATTCCACACCACCAACGTGGGTTCTTTCACCGCACGCCCGGGTTTGCGGGAGTGGAGTGCCGGGGAGTGAGACCCCGCGGGACGACGTGACGCCGAGACGAGGGGTGGGTCACTTGGGGAGATGGGGGGACCGTGGTGACCCACAGAGAGAGAGAGACCGACATAGCCCGACCAGTCCACCATGTTGCGAAGGACCTTCCAGATAGGTCAACCAAGGTCTGGTGCCATGAGCCACAGCCAATTCTGTCATGCCGCTGGTCTAGCTGCTTCTTCCTGTTCTGAGTGCTAGCTCAGGTCGCACTGCGCTGGCTTGTGTTAGCATGGCGGTTTGTGCAGTGCGACCTGAGCTAACACTCAGAATGGTGCAGAATGTGGGTCCTTCTCAAAAGCGAACCACCTGAACGCGCCTGGCTTGGATTTTGTAGGAAATGTTACAGTAATGTTCCTGGAGAACTTCACTTATCTCTTCAACATCATCCATCCAACCATGCGCTTCCATCTCAAAAACCACCCGCCAAACAGTCTGGACGAGGTCGCTCCATCCACTGGAGCGAAGCCCGGAACCTCGCCCAGTCGTTTCCCCGGGCGCCGTCGGCCGTCGCAAGGGCATCGTCCTTCTGCGATGATGCTGGGAGAAACCGATGCGGCCGATGGGCCAATGACTCCCAGCAAGGTCTGAGTCCAGAGGGTTTGGACCGACCTGTCCTTGCAGCGTGTCTTCATTTGTTTTGTTCTTCTTTTTTTTGGGTCAAGGACAGAGCTGGACAGTCCTCGTTGTGTCCTTGTGATGTGAGCTTTGACCTCTGGTGATGCTGTGAGCTTTCTGATGCTAACCATGACCAGCTCAGCCAACTCAGGACATGACAAATCCCTGCGATCCGCTGCTGGCATCACTTGTCATCACTTGTCCAGCTGGTCCTTTGGTGTGATAATGGATGATATTGGATACCTAGATCTCTGGCAACTGTCCAGCTTTCATCAGCTTTCAGTTGCATGCACTCATCAGCTTTGTTGACCACCGTGGAGCTTCGGCTCAGCTTCGAAGCAGCCCGGTCCCTCGAGGTGCCTCGGCACCCAACCCCTCCAATGGACAACTCAGCCAGCCAAACAAGGGCACAGCCCCATGAGTCCAAAGGGCTGTGTATTAACCCTGCTGCAGACTGGCACAGCCGGATAGCCCCTCTTTGAACAGATGATACCTTTGCTGAACAGGCATCTTGACGCATCTTGCATCAGCTAAACTCTGGTGAACCGCTACAGGAAGAGGTCCACCCTAATGTCTCTCACACCTTACATGGCCATCAGTTCGTTCTGCTCGTGAACTCGGCGGATCAGTTGGGAACGAAGTGCAGCGACACTGCAAAATGGACCCGACAGAAGCGTAATGCGGAATAATAGCTTCAGATGGGGAAGAGAATAAAGGACAAAACAACCAATTACTATATATACAATGTATCTTTCAAAAAGTGCACGTTGCCAAGTGCTGAAAGGGTGCACCTGTTACAAAAACTGGCACTTGCTGTTTGGCTCAAAACCGGCCGCCCAGCTGGGAAGCAGCGTAGCTAGCGGTCCTCCTTGACTCCGTGCGAGCTCACGTAGATACCGTCCAAGAACTTTCGGATATCCTTCTTCTTGCACAAGCACGACCTCGGGAAACTCCAAAAACAGGCGGCGATCATTGGCACGATCGCATGAGGAGCGCGAAGACGCTGTTGTGCACTGATCGAAATGTCTTTGAGACATTCAGGCATGCCAAGGGATTTCCTTTGGATGCTCAATACATGGGAAAAGGGGCACCCCTCATGGGGGCGTTGGGCATAGCTGACTGACTTGAGGATGCAATCTAAACCAGTGAACGTGGAGGATCCACATCACATCAACCCATTCTCAAACTGTGGGTCGAGAATTTTAAATTTGTAGACTCTTGATGATATTTCTACAATCCATCTCTTACGAGGAGGGGGTCAATGGGTTTTCTGATCAAGAGTCTACAGAAAAGACGTCTAAGGCTCGCAACTCCGAAGTCACTCCCCAAAAACCGGTCGCATGAGGGGAGGCCACCGGGAGATGTGAAGATCATCCTCTTCTCCCTGTGGTGACAAATCTGTCCAGTCAAGGGCCCAAAACAGAAGGCGGAGAAAGGAAAAGCCTTTCTAGTGGTGAGCAGAGGGTGCGGTCTTAAGACTAGACTCAGGAGAATGTTGCGCCAACCAAACTCTCAGAGAGAGTCGGTGGTCAAAATCGAAAACCCAACGCTGACTTGCCCTGACTGCCCAAACCAGTCGATGGCTCCCGAATCCGCCAGGAGGCTGGTGGATCAGGGCGGCAGAACGACCGGCCAAGTCAATGTCGGTGCTGGTCACCAGGATCTCATCCTGGGGCGAAGCGGGCGCAGTGGGGCGAACGAAGCGGGCGCGGCGGGGCGAAGCTCGGTCCGGTGCGTTCGTTGGGAAAGGGCACGTTTTGCACCTAACTCGGGCCGTTTGCTTCGCTGACCCCACCTTTTTGGGGAGGGTCCCTGGCCTTCTTTCGTGCATTTGTGAAGATCTGTTTGAGGAAAAGGCTATCAGGAACTTCCAGAAACCAGGCCTGTTTGTGGTCTTGTCCTGTCTTACCAGGTATACCAGTATACCAAAAAGGGGTGGGGGTGATTAAAGTCTGCAAGAAAACACAGAATGGTCCTGGCAATATTCATCAATGGAGGGATCTCTTCGACCAAAATGAAACATGCCCCCCTCTCGTTCCAACATGTGATCCTTCATCTGAAAAGCTGGTGAAGTACAGTGAACCCACAGCGATCAGTGCTTTAAAAGACTTCCTCCTCATGCAAACAGACCAAGCTCTTAGGACCAGCTCTGCACCTTCCGCAGATGCTGCTTCAGACATTGCCTTTAGTGCAGAAAGCACCTCCTCCAGCAGCTCACTCTGCACTGCCCGCAGTTCCTAGTGCCTGCTGAAACAATGGTGTTCTTTTGTGAGTACTTGTTTTTGGTGTTCAAACAGTTCAGTCGTCCCCCTACCCCTAAGACTCACTAACATGGAAGCAAAACACAGGTGTCTTTTGGAGATACTCCGGCAGATGCTGCTCCAGCAATGCTACAATGCAGGAAGCTACTGCGGCCGTTCCTGGTTCCTGCTGAGGCAGTGGTTTTT